ATTGTGATAAAACATACTAAAAAAACTTAAAACTAAAAAGTGTGGTTATCCCAGCTTTTTAAGCACTGGGTGGATTTTGGTATGTTCCTGGTGATGTACAAGGGCAAGAGTTAGAATTGCTGGTAGATATGGCTATTTCAAGTGAAACCACCATTTAAAACAGTTGACATTAACTATGTTTTGGTGAATGGAGAGATGGTCTATATAAATAATGGTGAGGTCAAGTTTTTATCACGTCTAAGAGGGATTGGCTTGCAGAATTAAGGTTGTCGTCACTGGCCTTGGTTCTGGCACGAGAATTCTTAGAATGTGCATGAAATAGGTGAACTGATGTTCCATGATATGAGCATCCAGTGCCACCTAGAAGGATCCAATAAACAGTGGATTGCATGAATGTATGTGGGAGAGGAAATCACAATATCCCCCATGTTTGCATGTGGTGTTTCATGGTTTACTGTGAACAATGTCTAGTGCACCAGTGAGTGCTGTTTCATATTCAGAAACCAAGCAACATTAACTCGAGCAGCCATCTGTTCAATAGAGAGTGAAGTCGCAGTATTGCTCTGCAAGTATGTATGATTAGTCCTTCAGCTGCAAACCAGAATGGTCATCAGCATGGTAAGTAATGTGGAAATAACCAATGCCAGTGATACATTCATATACCAACATATCTGAAATCACTAGTTGAGGATTGTGCCAACAATCTAGATTCAACACAACAGAATGGCTCACTGACTTACTGTAGTGGTGGAGTTTGCTGAGGTACTTAGACTGAAAGGGTTTATGACCATTGCTTTCTAAACCCCTGACTGGCGACATGAAGCACAGAATATGTGTTACATTCTGCAGCCACCTCTCATGCACAAGCTAGGATGGTCGGGTAGTCGAATGTAAATGAAGTGACGATCCTTGCGTTCCAAGCTAACAAGTGATTTTCACCATGCAGTGTACACACTACATTGTGTGATTTCCACTTCATTACTTAGCTGGGATGATAATTAGGTCGAGCACCAATAAATGAAAGGAAGTAATGTTCTGTGCTTCTTTAGCTGTTTGGTAATAATGTGTGGCAAAATGTATGGATTACATTTTGCAACTACAAATCACTTAACACAGTTACAATGGTTATTGCCAGTAGTTATAATGCCTAATATATCGACAGTTTGCACGACTGAAGAAGATAGTTTGGAGTTCAAAAACTTGGGTGTTCAGAGCTACAGAGTAATGTTCCTCGAAGGTGGAACATCTAACATTTCGTGAGAATCACTCACTTAATCTTGTGGAACAGCAAAATCTCTATGAAGAATATTACTCGAATCTTTGGAAAAATTTATAATTATTTATTATTTAGTTTGAAGCTGGAAGAAATTCTCTATTTGCATTTGTGGAGTTGTTTTTATTTGAATGTATATTGATATATATATAATAGTAACAGTGCAAGTAATTAATTATGATTTACCAAAATTTTTAGCTGAGTGGTTTGGTCTGTGATTAGTTATTTTGTGATAGCCTTAAAAGCACGCTCAAGTTTGATGGCTTACAGGTGGTAGCACCTAGCTCAGCCAAGCTACCAACTGTAGCTTTGGAAGTATCCTGAGATCAGTACATGCAAGTAATGTGGGAAGCTGGAGGCTATTTATCTAAAAGCTATTAGTCTATGCCACCTTATAGTGGAGATAAATGTGCGTCAATATAAATATCTCAATAAATAAATGTATGCAAGAACATTACACAAAGTCATTCATGAGTGTTGTATAACGTAAGTGAATCAATTACATAAAAAAAACTTGATTATTAAGGTATTTGAGAATGAAAATAAAAAATTTGATCCTGTGTCAATATTTCATGATATGAAGTTAATTGTGATTACTAGTTTGTGAGATATATATTATTTGAAAATGCAGTGAACTGGAATTTTCATTAATACGCTAGAGAGAATGTTTCAGTTTTGACATTGAAGTATCCAGCAGGAAGTGAATGTTCATAGAAAACTAAAAGTAGCGATGAAACTCAAGATACTTTTCAGAGAAAATGCAGTTTAACCTGTTTTTTTTTCGAGTAGCAGAACACTATGCCTGACAAAAAAAAAAGTCTGTCTGTGGTTTTTCAGTAAGAATAGTGTGGAATATTTTGGTTGCTTATGATTTTATATATATGTATTGTTGAAATTAACGTAAAAACATGCAATTCATAGAAAGTAAGTTAACTATCATATTAAATATGAACCTAGTGTTCTTTTTGGTTGTGATGGAATATTTTCAATCTTGCATATTGAAATGTTCTGAGAAGCACACAGTTTTCTGAATATTATCTCAACATTAATTCACTATAAGGGTCAGCCATGATACACTAGGAGAGCACGAAAAGTGGTATCCTTGGGGTGAAGCTTTGAAAGTTGCATCATTGTTAGTTCTGCAGTGCATTAGGTAAATGTGAAGTTTCTTTAAAGGTAGAATCTTCTCATTTAGGGAGTATTATTTCAAATAAAGCTCAATGTATTTCCCCTTATTAAACTAAATATATTGGGTTTACATGATTGCTCTATGTATTTCCCCTCATTAAACTAAATATATTGGGTTTACATGATTGCTCTATGTATTCCCCTCATTAAACTAAATATACTGGATTTACATGATTGCTCAATGTATTTCCCCTCATTAAACTAAATATACTGGGTTTACATGATTGCTCAATGTATTTCCCCTCATTAAACTAAATCTATTGGGTTTACATGATTGCTCAATGTATTTCTCCTCATTAAACTAAATATACTGGGTTTACATGATTGCTCAATGTATTTCTCCTCATTAAACTAAATATGTTGGGTTTACATGATTGCTCAATGAAGCTACAGTTAATCTTGAAATAAATTTTTTAATAATTGGCCAAATTTTGATTATTCACTGGGTTTCAAGCATCTTTGGTACAGTGAAGGTGGTCTGAAAACATTGTTCAGAAATGGTGCGTTGACTGAAAAATGCAAGATCTGGTATTGAACAAAATCCAGAGGTATCTACAAAATCTGGCTACCAGAGGTTTTTTTCTTGACTTGCCTACTATGAGAGATGAACTTCGGAAACTTCCTCCCAAACTTCCGAAGAGAAGGACATTCTTAACTAACTCTCATCGCATAATTCTACAGACAATTGAAGTGGTAAATACAACAAAGGTCGAGGATCGAAAATCAACAAAGATGGTTGACTAGTGTGGTTTAGTAGGATTTTCAAAAGATCTGATCTTAATGACATCAACCACAATTCTTCCAGGCAGTAATTGGTAATCTGACTTAATGTCAGAACTTATCAAACTACTAAATACAGATTTCTGGCCAAAAGATCACTATCAGTTTATTTTATATGGCTAAAATAAAAAATTTGGCAAGACTACTTGGAGAACATACTTGATCTCCTGTTGAAGAATTGAGTGCCAGAGTAATCCGTAATATAAAATTAGGTTAATAATTAAAACCATCTTATAGTAGTCTACCACTGGAGTAATCCATAATATACGTTACTTTCATATACAGCTAGGATAATAATTAAAACCATCATATAGTAGTCTACCACTGGAGTAGTCCATAATATAGATTACTTCCATATACAGCTAGATTAATAATTAAAACCATCATATAGTAGTCTACCACTGGAGTAATCCATAATATATGTTACTTTCATATACAGCTAGATTAATAGTTAAAACCTATATTATGGATTACTCCAGTGGTAGACTACTATATGATCGTTACTTCCATATACAGCTAGGTTAATAATTAAAACCATCATATAGTAGTCTACCACTGGAGTAATCCATAATATACATTACTTTCATATACAGCTAGGTTAATAATTAAAACCATCATATAGTAGTCTACCACTGGAGTAATCCATAATATATGTTACTTCCATATACAGCTAGGTTAATAATTAAAACCATCATATAGTAGTCTACCACTGGAGTAATCCATAATATACGTTACTTCTATATACAGCTAGATTTATAATTAAAACCATCATACAGTAGTCTACCACTGGAGTAATCCATAATATACATCTTCTATATATACTTCTATATACAGCTAGATTAATAATTAAAATGAGATATACACATAAACATAAGGCTCTGATCCTTTCTAGGGGGATCATGGTCTCTAGACCTTCTTGTGTAATATGGGCACTTTTCAACTTTTCTCATTCCTCACACCTCCATTCTATGATTTTGTAGGGATCTCAATCCCTGAAAAATAATTAATTTGAAACATGGATATGCTGATTACTTTGCCTTTTTAATGTAGTTGAATTAAATGTTCAAATTACTTGTAAGTAACATCTGGTTTTCCTAATATTTCTTGCAACAGTATTCTTAACATGCCCAGATGGAGAATTATAAGACCATTGTAAAGTCCACATATTTATGCTATAAAATGTGATTTACCAGCATCAAATAAAAAAAGGAACACTTTAAACCTGTTTTATATTTTAATCCTTTTTTATAAAATTAAAGAAATAATATAATATTGGCATTTTTATCTGTATTAAATAAATGTTTGATAAATTTCAATAGCTAAAACTGTGTTCATTTATCTGACACAACATAATTGTTTTTACATTAGTTTAATGATATATGTTTAGCACTGAGGAACCAGAGACTAAAGATGCTTAGTTTCATAAGACAAATAAATGAGTTTGCAACTTTTAAACTAAATGAGAGTTATAGAGACTTACAAAATGCATAGTTTTGAAAATGTAGTTTTATCACATGGAACTAGAGCCAACAGACTTTGTTTTAATACCAAATATGTAATAAAAACTGTACTGCTCTCAAGGTAAGGTTTATGACATTATAACTCCAACATCATAGATACTTTAATTCTGCATTGCCACTTTATTTCTGATCATTTGAAACTAGTTTACACATTTTTTTTGAGCTATTTAATGTTGACATCTGTCAGTAATCTCTTCAGTTTTCCAAAGCAGGATGGCCTATAAAACAAAAACAAAGGTTATTAGCATCACCTCAAATTCAGAGGATTAATTTTATTAGCTATCTTGAAAATAGTTCAACTTGATTTCTGTTCTTAAAGTAAGTATGTATATACCTTTCTTTACTAATTTGTTCACATTACTAGTGGAGAAAGCCGATGTCTATGTATCATGGCTTCACCCTTAACGTGAAATTATTCAACTTCACAGATAATACTGGAGTATGTTTGGATACAGGTCGAAGGTCAAATGTTTAAGCCTATGACAACCTTTGAACTTGTTTCACAGACATACAAGCACAAAACACTTCAGAGATTAAGATAAATTATTTACCTGATTCACCAATCACAAGTAATGGTTTAGCATCGCTTCCCAGTGTTCCTGGTGTCCAGACTGAACTTTTGGATCTCCATGTTTAAACACATAATCCTGCATTAACAAAAATAGAATTGAGATCAATCACTGTATATCATAGTGCAAGGAAGTTTACACTGAAGCAAGCTTTACAAAAATATGCACAGAATTCTTTAAACCTAAAAAAATGTTTCACAAATTTGTACATCAAAGGGAAAGGTGAAAAACAGCAACATCGAACTTCTAATAGAAAAACTTAGGAAAATTTAGGCTAACAGCAACATTGAACTACTAATAGAAAAACTTAGGAAAATTTTAGGCTAACAGCAACATTGAACTACTAATAGAAAAACTTAGGAAAATTTAGGCTAACACAGACATACATAAGCAAGAACTAAATGGACTGCAGAAAAGGAATTATAAAATGTGTTTTCAGTCTATACTTGTTTACAAAAATTGGACCTAGTCTACAAAGCAGTAAGGATACATATTTTAAAAGATTTAACCTCATTTATAACCCTCAAACAACATTTGCATAGAGATGATAACTTGTAGATCTACATACTAATAAGGATGTTTTTATGTACATATATTATATATACATATATAGATACACACACACATACACTATATATATATTATACACACAACTTTATCTTTAAAGCAATAATTTTATTTAGTCTGCTCCACTACTCAGTCTTACTTTACCATGCAGAAACTTACATAAGAACTTGTTAGATGAAGAAAGATGTTAGGTCTGAGGCTTAACGGTAACTATTGCTTGAGACAGTTAGATATATGATAAAACATTATTACACCCGTTTAAGTCTCTTCATTAGTTTAAGGTATAAAATTTTTGTTGCTGTCTAAAACCAAGTTCACTCTAGTTTTTGTCATCATTAAAGTGGGACCCTCATATTCTCGTGAAACACTCTGACATGACTGCAGCTGGAGTACAAAATATTTTTGGACAAGTTCAAGTTTTTTTTCGTTGATAAAGCTGCTTGGAACTTGCCTCACATTCCTCAAGACTGCTGGTTCCTGAAGCAATCTTAGCTCCTATACCTGAATCAAAGCTTATATACCGCTTCTGAAAATTAAAACATAAGTAGGCGTTAGAAAATCATGTAAACAATTAAAACTTGAATAATCAAAAATCACTTGGTTTGTGCTGGAATGATTTTATCATAATCCTTAAAATGATTCTAATCATTAATTTTTATTAGGAACAAACCCATGGGTGATATAAAGAATTCCAATGGTTCGTATTTACAACAATAGGTCCCGTGACAGTTACAACAATAGGTCCCGTATTTACAACTGTTTCTTCACGAATAGAAGGAACACAATAGGTCCTGTGACAGTTTGTTCAGGAATAGAAGGAACACAATAGGTCCTGTGACAGTTTGTTCAGGAATAGAAGGAACACAATGGTTCGTATCACTGTTTCTTCACGAATAGAAGGAACACAATAGGTCCTGTGACAGTGTGTTTACAGACAGAAGGAACACAATAGGTCCTGTGACAGTGTGTTTACAGACAGAAGGAACACAATAGGTCCTGTGACAGTTTCTTCACAAATAGAAGGAACACAATAGGTCCTGTGACAGTGTGTTCACAGACAGAAGGAACTTAACAGTTCCTGTGACAGTGTGTTCACAGACAGAAGGACTTAACAGTTCCTGTGACAGTATGTTCACAGAAGGGATATAACAGTTCCTGTGACAGTGTGTTCACAGACAGAAGGGATATAACAGTTCCTGTGACAGTGTGTTCACAGACAGAAGGGATATAATGGTTCCTGTGACAGTGTGTTCACAGACAGAAGGAACTTAACAATTCCTGTGACAGTGTGTTCACAGACAGAGGTCTAAGCTTCTTGTGACAATGTGTTCACAGACAGAGGTCTAAGCTTCCTGTGACAATGTGTTCACAGACAGAAGGAACATAAACATAACTATAAAGGTAAAGTGTATTCTTTTAAACTATGAGAATATTACGTATCTTAAAAACTCAGAGAAATGTGAAAATTTTACAAATGTAACACACACTTTCCATGTCTGTCAAATTTCATACATTTCAGACAAGACCAGAAAATTAACGTTCAAAATTTTAATTTAACACCTACTTTTAGTGATTTCTCAAAAACACCATCTGATATTATCTTTGCAGCATTTTTCAATCCTCTTGCAAATGAATCCATTGCCCCTATAAAAGTAATAACAAATTAACTGTATTGCCCCTATAAAAGTAATAACAAATTAACTGTATTGCCCCAACTAAACATTTGTTTCACATCATGATAATATACAGAATTCCAAGTTATTAGGAATCAAATTTATAAAAATATTTTATTGATGTCTACAGAAGAAGTTTACAGTTTTTACTTTTTTTATGAAATAACCAATAACCTGACATTATTTTTTCAATTTCATATTTTCCAAATTGATTGCAGTATTTTGTTTTATAGGTGAAATATAAAAGGAAAAGAAGAAACATGAACAAGTCGTTTTATTACAAAACACTGTAATTTTATTCATGTAAATACTTCTATTTTTTAAAATATATATATATAAAACAAAACGGTAGTTTTATAGGCGAAATATAAAAGGAAAAGAAGAAACATGAACAAGTCGTTTTATCACAAAACAGTGTAATTTTATTCATGTAAATACTTCTATTATTAGTTCAATAATGTAGTTATAAATTTGGCTAGAACATTCTTATATTAAAATGTAACCATGACTACAGTTCAAACCGGAGATGGGATTAAACATAAGACTAGTAGTGTTTCTTCACTAATATCAGTGGTGTAGCAAGGGTTCTCAGCACCCGGTGGCACAGACACTTTTGGCACCCCCACCTATGAAATGTTTTGATTATTTGTTTTGTGACTCATTACCCACTTAATGACAATAACATGAAAAATTAATTACTGGCCTTACACAGGCCTAAAATAAAGTCACAATATAACATCTCAAAATATCACAACTGTAAACCTGGAACTAATGAAGTATAGCCTACTAGGTGTACTTACATAATTTGTAAACCATTTTGATATTTATGACACCCACTATTGTTCAAAGTCACATAGCTAGAGTAATCTTTCAAACATGCAGAATAAATTTCTGTTATATCCCTAGTTTTGAAACTTATGTTTTACATGAAAAGCCAGTCACTTGTGGTGTACATGGATTATAAAACAGACTGATAAAATACTACTTAAGTTTACAAATATTTTTTTTATTAGTTTACAAAACTGTACATATACTTAACTAGATTTTGTACAGGTAGCATTTTAGTATTCATGGTTACATTATATGAACCTTTCGTGCTTTTGCTGCTGCAAATGCATCAATTAAACTATCAAAATTTAAGGTATTAAGCACGTCTTTTTCAATACTTAATATTGCCAAGTTACTAAGTCGTTCTTGAGTCATTGAGGTTCTCAAGTATGTAAGAATTAATTTCAGCTTGCTGAAGGACCTTTCACAACTAGCAATAGAAACCCCAATTGTTAACAAAATCTGCAATGCAATTCTTAAATTCGGGAAAACATCATCACCATATGAAATTATAAATGTTTGCAAATCAGTTGCAACCATTGGTTCAGGAAAATCGATCTGTGTTCTTTTACTTATCAACATTCTACAGTCTTTAATTTCTCTGTACAATATCACCTGGATAGCTCT